TTTCTCTCTCAGGTTGGGTAGTTGACTCCATTTTATCCCCCCTTTTATCAGATCGTTCCTCATCTAGAGGAGTGGTCAGCAGGTGGACAATGGGTCACACTCTGAAGTGGCTCTGTCAGCCCAGTGCCAAAGGGACACTGTCCTGTCAGGATCATGGGAGGGAAGGAGGAGATGGGATTAGCCAGTGTGTTGATAGACTTCTAGAGCTGCAAACATCATTCTTGGATGTTTGGATGTAGATCTCTTTGCAAGTCAAAATTGTATTTCAAAGCTGTTCTTCCTTAAAATGGTGTGGTGATTTATCTTGTGAAGAGAGTAATCACTCTTGTGAAGTTGTGGGGGTGTTTCTATACTGGGAGGGTGGGTATGTAGTGGGATGGGTTCACACAATAGGACCCAGAAAGCAAAAGCAGTTCAATAATGTTCTTCAACCTTTGAAATGAGCTAGACCCCACCTTTCTGCATTGTTCTCCAGCTCCCCAAACGGCCATGCAAGAAAGATGGGGCTCACACTGTGGCAGTAGGATGGATTCTCAGAAGCTCAGGGAGGCTGTGAGGCCTGGCAGGTGTCTGAGGCTGCCTCCTCATTCTCCTTGTTGTAGTGAGTCGTGTCCCTGCAGGTTAAAGACCGCCTCTTGAGGACTCTGGTAGAGAGGTTAACTTATCTCAGGGACTCCAGATGCCAAAGTAAGAAGGACAGGGAATGGGAAAGTTGCTAGGAATACAGCAGGAGATGTCCCAGGAGACCTTTGGGGTTTCCTGACCAGAAGAGATTGAGGTTGTGAGGGAGTAGAAGCTTTGGTTTGGTACCAATGGTACATGGGGTAGGCATCCTAGAAGAGAAGCTCTGACACCAGAATATCAGGAACACTTGGGGAGATTTTGTAAACACTTCTGTCCCCAGCCTCATTACCACTGGAAGACAGAATACACTCCACAGTCAGGTAGGTACTGCAGGGTTCCAAAGGTTGGGGTGAAGGCAAAGTGCAGCAGTGGAAAAGACCAGGCCCAAGCCTTAGTCAACAGAGGGAAAAGGGGTCTAGGTGAAGCTCTTTAAGAGCATATGGAACTGATAAACCCCACAGTGACCTTGTCCTGGAGTTTTAACAACAGAACATAGAGAAATGGAGTGAGGCTAAAGATCAGGAAATTTTGGCCCTAATGTCAGTGCTGTGATTTAGTATCTCTGTGACTTTGGATAAATCTCTTCCCCTCTCTTGAGTCTCAGTTGCTTCTACTATAAAATTAAGAAGTTAGGCTTACTGGTCTCTTTCCACTATGAAAGTGTGGGTCTGTGATTCTAAAAAGTGGTATGGTTTTTGCACCATGATCCAGTACATTACATGTGGAAGACTGGGGCCTGATGCTGTCCCTTTGTTTATGGAATCCAGCTGATCCATCCACCAGCTTCCAGGCCAGAGGCACCCCTGGCCACTTGATAGCACTTTCCTTAAGTGGAACACTGCTTCTGTGGGAATAAAACTAATTAAATTAGAAAATTAAAAAATGAGGGTTCCGTAGCCCAATGAGTTTGAGTATCTGTGGGTTAAACATGTTCAACAGTTTCTTTTCTTTTTTTTTTTTTTTACTTTGGTATCATTAATCTACAATTACATGAAGAACATTATGTTTACTAAGCTCCCCCCTTCACCAAGTCCCCCCCACATACCCCTTCACAGTCACTGTCCATCAGCAAAGTAAGATGATGTAAAATCACTACTTGTCTTCTCTGTGTTGCACAGCCCTCCCTGTGCCCCCTTTCTTTTTCCCTGCCCTTATCCCTCCCTTCCCACCCATCCTCCCCAGTCCCTTTCCCTTTGGTAACTATTAGTCCATTCTTGGGTTCTGTGCTTCTGCTGCTGTTTTGTTCCTTCAGTTTTCCTTTGTTCTTATACTCCACATATGAGTGAAATCATTTGGTACTTGTCTTTCTCCACCTGGCTTATTTCACTGAGCATAATACCCTCTAGCTCCATCCATGTTGTTGCAAATGGTAGGATCTGTTTTTTTCTTATGGCTGAGTAACATTCCATTGTGTATATGTACCACATCTTCTTTATCCATTAACATTTTCTTTTTTTATATAAGACGCCTCAGAGCCCTTAACCCACCAATGTGCATTTTGAATCTCTTAAGAGGGGAAAATATACACTATTGCCCAAACAAATATGATTGTAGAATCCATTTTTGTGAGAAGTTTCATGATACTTGGCATCTCTCTTTCTTTAAAAACAATAGCAACTTAAAGAGATGGCCCTTACTTACCGTCCCCAAATTCTTGACCTTTGAAGCAAGTGGGAATGTCCCCTCCTCCTACTCTGGGACCCCAAAGGCAGGCAGTCTTTTGTCATGGTCTTCCTAGGGCAGCCTGGCAGTCAGTGCCAGTGATTTTCTGCTACTTGCTGTTGAATTCCCATTGAACTGACACCTCACAATTCCCCATAGTGATCCTCCATGTCTCCCTGCAGCAGATGTTCACAGAATGCCCCCTTCACCTTGACAGAGAAGGGCAAGTCAGCATGAGCTCCTCTGAGTTGAGCGCCTTCTCGGTGAACTGGTCTGAGGGTCACTGTGACTGGACTGACAGGTAGTAGCTGTTGACTCTCTGGTTTGGAGTTGGTTTTCCGTAAGTGACAGGAAAAAAGCTGCCTGAGTCCCCCACCCTAGGAATATATACTTCTCTGGGCTGGACTGGGATGGAAGGTAAGCCTGGGGATGAGGAATTGGCCATGTCTTATTTGGGCAGGAAAGACTGGGTTGCACTCTTTGGACTCAGTTTTCACACTCATTTTCCGTGCTCCTGTCTCATCGCTCTGCCTTGTTTCTCCTTCATCCTTCTTTGGGTTCTTCCCATCTCCCCCCTGTTCTTCTAAGCAGACAGGCTCTCCTTCCTCCTCCTCAACCCAATCTCCCAATCTCCTGTTCACACTCCCTCTGCCCCCCCAGCCTGGCAGCCTGCCCTGTAGGAATGTTAATTAGCACTCACGATTTAATTAATTCAGTAGCTAATTAATGATTGGGGACTGGGGGGTGGGTAGCTGGGGTGCAGGGGAGTTGGGGGCTAGAAGTGGCAGAGGGAGAAATAGCGGAGACTGCAGAAGGCGTTGCAGATGGCTGTGCGGTGGCTGGCACCGTGCCCACCGCCATGGATGCAAACACTCACGCGCACGCACACATACACACACAAAAAGGAAAGGGTGATCGAGGAATAAAATCAAAAGCAGGGAGAGAAGGGCACAGGGGCCCTGGGAACTGGGGGTGGGGAAGCTCTAGATCTATTTGAATCTGCTCCGGAAGTGGAAGAGGAGAAAAAAAGAAACCACCACAGGCGCAGAGAGAAGAGAGCTCTCCCGATACCCCACCCCACCCCCACCCCACCCCAGCCACCCCTCCTCCCTGGCATGGGATTCATGGGCACCAGCTGAGGACAGGGTTCCCTCCCTCTGCCTGCCATAAATATTGGCACTGAAGACCCAGACTTAGAAGGACAGGACATTCCCAAAGAAAATAGTTTTTCCTTTAAATTCCTTTTAAAATATATATGTATATATTTTTTAAAAACATTGCACCCATTTTGGTGTGAGGGCGAAGGCGAATAAAGAAGGTGGCCGAGCCAGGAGGAGAGCACAGATGCTTGGTGGTGGTATGGTGTGGTGAGTTGTGGGGAGGAGGAGAGGGGGTCTGACAGGTCGGGGGTGGGTGGAATGAGGACCCTGTTTTCCTCTTTTCGTTTTTGCTGTGGATGAAGGAGAGAGAGAAAGAGAGAAAGGGGGTGGGGAGCGAAGCGAAACAGATGGCAGAGTGGAGAGGCGGCAGCCAGTGCCGGCACTGCCCAGTCCGGGCGGACCCAGCTCCCCACTGCCTGCCAGCTTTCCAAATGCCACCCTTCCCCCATCCTCCCCTCTCCCCATCCCCCCAGCTTGGCACTAATCTCAGAGAGAGAGGGAGGGAGGCTGGGCAAAGAGCATCTGTTCCCTCCATTCTCCCAGCTCCATCGGCTGCCAACCTAGGGCCATCGCCTGCCTCCATCACCCCTCCGCCCGCCTGCCCGCCTGCCTACCCACTCAGTCCCAAATGGGTGCTGGATCAGGTGGCCGCCTGGATCGAATCTGGCCGCCTCCTCGGGTATACCAGTCACTACGCATTGCTGTGTGTCTGCCACCGCTGCCTGGCACTCCAGGTCGTGTGTCTGTGTGTGTGTGTGTGTGTGTGCGCGTGCATGTACATGTACGTGTAAACGCGTGCTGTATGTGAGCCTCCTGGGCATGGGTGGGGGTTGGCACTGCAGCTGCCAGCCTAGTGTCCAACCAGAAGGACAGAGGGATGGAGTGGGGGAAAGAGTGGAGAGGTTTGGGGCCTGGGAGGGCAGAAGAGGGTACTTGAGTTGCTTCGTGGCACTGCAGCTGCCACCCTTGTGCCCGCGGAGGTGGGGGGAGGCGAATGGGGAGAGGGCAGCGGCAGGAGTCTTGGTACTCTGGGAGGAAGGCTCAGTACCCGCAAGCCACTGGCATCACATCTGTCAGTCTGGTGGCCGGTGGGGCTGTGGGAACAGGGCCCAGGAGGTGGAGAGGGCAGGGGAGGACTGCTGCTGTTCTGTCCTAGACCTCAGCCCTGACCGTCGGCTGGACTAGGAGGTATTAGCCCTCTTCCAGTTGAAGAAAGTAAAGTGGTGGGAAGAGTAGCTAGGAAGTGCCAAGAAGGTGCCTGGGAGCCAGCAGGAGGGATTGCGCCAGCACTCCCCAGGGAGAGCTCACTGGGGCTGGCAGGCTAGCCCTCTGTGAGAAGGCAGGGGGTCCTGGGCACAAGGCAGGTGGGTGCTGGCCAGCAGCCTGGCATGGACTCTGGCGCCGTGTGGAATGGGAGGGCAGCTGCACCTCTTGCCAATCTGGTTGGGAGGGTTGCTGTGCCAGGAGTGAGGGGAGGAGGAGAGTGATGTGTGTGTGTGTGTATTTGGGAGGAGAGACTTTTTCTGCCAGGACCTCCTTCCTGTTCCCTCTTAGGTACGGGGATTGGAGCAACGGGCTGAGAAAGGCGTGAGGACACAAAGGAGGAAACGTGCCATTGCCAGGACCCCAAGTAAGAGGGTGGAGAGCGCTGGCAGTCCTGCCTGGCTTCCAACTGGTATCCTGCTGAAGGTGGCCAGATCTTCTTGCCTGGTCTGTATATGTCACTGTGGGGGCACAGGGGGAAGGGGAAGGGCTGGTTTGCTGAGCTGGGATCTAGAATGAGAAAGGCACCTTTCTGCGGATCCCGTTTGGACTTCACTCTATAAGTGAGGAGTCTGATTTGCTCCTGGTGCCTTCCTCTGCTCCTCCTCCCTCCACTCCACTCTTTCATCTCTTCATCACCACCTGGGTCCTACGGCTTGGCACCCAACCAACTAGATGCTGCCATGCTTGGCAGTGCTGCACTGGCACGTGATCAGTGTCTCAGATCCTGGCACTGCGGCAAACCCGAAGCCGCCAGACGTGCTCACGACCACCACTTGGTGGCAGAGGGGTGGGGGCATGGTGTCTGCCATGGTGCCAGGCACGGGGCGGAGTTGCATGCCGGAAGTGGCATGAAAGGATGCCCTCCACAGCTGGGCTGCATCACCGCTCTGCAGTCAACCCCAGCTCTACCTTCCTCCCAGCTAGACAGCCACTTCCCTCCTGCCCTCACTGCTCTTAAGAAAGGGATGTAGATGGCACCATACTCAGTGTTTGAACAGTTTTTCCAGGGGGAGCTGTTGATAGAGGGACAAGAGCATAGCTGAGAGACACATCCAAGACTCTGGGCCAGTGGACCATGCACCTCTATGGGCAGCAAGGACAGAGGAAATCCTGGGAGGATGATGGTGTGAGAGCCTGGAGAAAGGCCAGCCAGCCATGTTGTCACAGAGGCAGTGCCAGAAGAGATTGGAAGGGAAGGAGGAGGAAGGGGAGCCCCTCAGGACTTGCTGTTGGATGGTGAGGTGGTGTGTGCCTGTATTTCGTTCTGCCCTGTGCTTTGTGAGTATCTGAGCTGTGGGTGAGAAGAACCAGTTCTTTCACCCTTGTCAAAAAGCCCATATTTGGTAACAAGCCTAGAACCATGGAGAAGCGCTCTGGGTCTTGAGAGAAGACAAAGCACTGGGAACTTGTCCTTCTGCAGAGACAATTCAGGGAGTTTTGTTTAGGAATTTCTCAGTGGCACCCCACTTACAGTTGGATAAATCTCCATATCTTTGAACTCCACCCATGGAAGGGAGACCACAGATTAGCAGTGAGCCCTGGTAGAGAAGAAGGCCCCTAGGAGGAGAGCCTCCAACATCTGTGGTGACAGTGACCTCCAGGGACAGTGCCATGGGCAGTCCCACAAAACTGGACCTCGGGGCTCCATTGGAAGACTGCCAGCAGGGTGGGCTTTCCTTGCTTTTTGTGTAGCCCGACACTATGCATGCATCAGTGACTAGGAAGCCCTTTGGGTAGAAGATTTGGCTCTGGGTGATGGGGGGGTGGGGGCTGGGTGTCTCTGATGGAGGATAGGGCCTGCCTAGAGGGAAGTAAAGCCATTGCCAGGCTGGGCTGAGCTGAGCTGCCTGGGGCTGGGAGAGTTCCAGTTGCAGCACCTCTGGAAGTGGATGGCAGCTTCAGACACAGCAAGGTAGTTTCCAGAGCAGAGGAAAAAGCAGGGAGGCACTCAGCCAAAGGGGTGAGTGGACAATGTTTGTATCTTTTCTCCTCTTCAGGAACAGCCAACATAAGCAGGAGACACAGTTAGATCTGCAAAATGTTGGTGGTGGGGGTGATGCCAGGATAACGAAGATGACAAATCCAAGGTGATGTCAGGCCCCTGGGTGGTAGCCCCTGTGTGGCAGGGTGGGCACTGGGGGCAGGTCACAGATGTATATGGGCTGAGCAGCCTAAATTAGTGGTTCTCAAACTCCAGGGAGCATAGAATCCTTCAGGAGTTTCCGATTCAGTTGGGCTGTGATTTGCTCCAGGAATGTGTTTTAAACATGCACACTCAGGAAACCATGATGCATGTGGACAAAACTTTGGAGAAACGCTCTTCTAGGACATAACAGTCACCTTGTAGGACAGTCGATCTAGTATGGATTGCTCATGCCTTTTGCATTTTTCTTCTTCATCCCCAACTACATTCACGTCTTTGTGCTGCCATGCATGTGATATGTGTGTTGTGGGACGTGTATGTGGGTGTTTCGGGTGGGGACAGCAGAGGGAAAAGGAGAGGTTGTGAGGTCCAATCAGGCAGGTGTTACTTGTTGGAACGATGCTTCTCATGGGCAGCAGTTGCTTCAGAAAACCCCCTAGGAACATTTTCAAAAGTCAGTCTTCCTTTCAGCCCCAGGTTCTGATGATGGACTCTGCCCTGTTTCTGAAAGTGCACCAGAGAACCACCAGGTTAGGAGCATTGTCACGAGATGGCTCTCTATGTTCTGGTTGGATTTGTGTGGATTCGGTGCTCAGTACAGGCTGAGTCCTTGTTTGCTTCGTGGAGGCAGGTCTGGGTCCGGGTGGTTGAAGTAGGAGGCAGCAGAGTGCAGGGCCTAGCGTGCTGCCCCCACTCAGCAAGTAGCTGATGGTGCTGTTGTTTGAGTACTTGGCAGGGCTATTAAGGAGTGAGCTCAGTGTACACTGTCCTTTTAAGGCCAGTGGGAAAGCCATGGTGCAGGGTTGGAAATCAGAGAGGGACTGATACGTGGAGCAGTGCTGAGCTCCTGCTGATTACTTGCTTCAGTATTCTAGCAACTGTTTGTGTAAGAGTGCATGTCAGTCCGGTAGGATTGTAAATCAGTCCCAGGTCACCTTTCCACATCAACTTTCTGGTCCACCTATAATCAACCTGCTTCCCCACCAGCTTCTAGCAAGACACCTCTCCATGGCTGGGGAGCTGCAAGAAAACACCAGGCTCAGACCACTGACAAGGAGTAATGCTGTTTACCCTTTGTCTGTCCTCTTTGTGGAGGGTTGTCCAGGTCCTTTACATAAAGGAGTGTGACAGGGGGGATCCTCACCTGATACTGTGTTCTTCCCATTAAGTGCAATCTCTACCTGGGAGGCTTTCCCTGGGAATCACTTCCCATCTGTCCCCAAACTCATAAAGCCATGACAAGACATCTACAAATATCTTCTCTCCCACTTTTCTTTCATTTGACTTTTTCACAATGAATCCAACCTGAAATCCCATAGACCTGAAGCATGGTCTATAGCCTTCCTTGCTGTTAGCAAGAGCTTCCTTCGTATTGGGGCATTTCTTCCTTACTCAATCCTCTAGAAATGACATCCTCATGACTTACAAGTTTCTCGCTAGTTGCTCCCAACTGGTGGTTTGAGCTTGCCACCTAGAGAGAAAAGCTCCCCATTCCCGGTCCTTCCTGTAGCACAGGGTCCCAGCCCAGCACACTCCATGTTTTACAAGGGAGTATTAGTGATAGATCTTGTGCCTACATGCCCAGGGGTGCATCCTTGCTGTGCTCGTGTGAATCCTTACAGTGCTCTCTGTTCCGTTGTTTCTGAAGGTGGGCTTGCTTGTTTCCTTGGTGCAGTTATATGCACAAAGCTCAGTCTTTTAGTTGTGAGTATCTCCACAGGGATGAATGACTGGATAAGCAAATGTCTGGGAACAAATCAGGGTGGTGGAGATTTGGGGATTAATGGTCTGTAAGCCCTGCCTGAAAGGGCAGAAAGTACAGAGTGGAAAAGCTCCTTTTCTTCATACACATGGTGCTAAGAAAATAGTTTTACACGCAGAACTTCAATGGGAGAGAGAAGGTAGAAGGGAGGGAGGGTGCAGGAGAGACACTGAGAGGCAGGGGAAGGGGCAGCAAGAGCAAGACCTCAGCAGGGCAGGCCCTCCCCTCTGGCCTGCGTTTGTGACGGGCATTTTTTGAATCATCATAGTAACGAAGTCCACCCTACCCCGGTTTACTAGAGTTGGAGCTTTTAATTTTAGAAATTAATTGGACTGGACATGAGATTCACAGAACATACGGGGACTAGGGACGAGCTGAGCCCCCCACCCACTCCCCTCCCCTCCCATCTTTTCTGCACATAAGCCACTGCTTTGGTATTGACATGTTCACAGAGCAGAATGACAGAGACTGGGAAATCTCAATCCCAGGGCTCAATCTGTGTGAGTGTATGAAATGAATAATGGTAGGGGAAGAAGCTTGAAGGGAGAAGTTCAGAAGGAGACTACTTTGAAATGGGAAGTCTTAGGGGCAAGGGTTGTAAAAGAAACTCTCTGGAGAGGTAGGAATTTTTTTTGCAGGCTTTTCTTTGATAAAATAAAATGCCTGCCTTTCCACCCTATACCACTTTAGCTGGGCTTTGGGGTTGCTGCCTGATGCTTACATGAACAATTAGAAGTGGGGACCCTCTTCCAGCTCATTCCTCTTCTGTTGGTTCCCCTGGGGGTATCACCCTATCAGAGATTTATGTTGTGCTTCAGTCATCTCCTTGCCCACCTATCCCCTCAGCTGTTAACAGTAGACTCCCCTATGAGCCCATGGATAGGCCCTGACTCTTTTTGGGTACCCCCAGCAGCTGTTGCTTTCTGGGAGAGCTGGGCTTGGCTAGAGGGAACACGGACAAGGGCAGAAGATGGGGAAGAACAGATGGAGAACAAGGACTCCCACAAAGGGAAGGAGGTTCAAGAGGTGGCCTGTAATGTGTACGGGCTACTAGGAAGGGAAATAGAAGTAGGGATTTGTGAAAGAAGTGAATGAGAGGAAAGGGTGGTTCGGTGTGGAAAGGGAAGCAGACCCAGGATTCAGAAACCTAACTGCCCTATCCACTCCCTTCCTCCTGGGAAGGCCCAAGTACCTTTTGGTGACACTCACTTCTCTAACTCACATCTGGAAATGAGGGGATGATTACCTGTCCCAATAAATACTCAATTCAGGGGCAAGGACGCTTCTCTCCCCCAGTCTCCAGGCTCTTCTCCCCATTACCAGCTCCTGCCTCTGAAGCTGGGCATGGCCAGTGCCAAGGGGCACTGCTTCAGTCTCTAGGATCACAGTACCCATGCCAGGACTGAAAGCCATCTCATCTTCCAAAGATAAGTGGTTTAAAGAAACCCTTAATATTGGGGGTTGAGGGTGCAGGAAGGGAGTGACACAAACAGGAAAAAAAAACACTTGTTTGATGGGAGAGTGTTCAGGGTTTTTTTTTTTTTTTTTGTATTTTCCAAGTTTATGCGTTTCTTTAGTTCATTCCTCTGGTCTCTCCATCTCTCTCCCGTGCACATTTGCACATGCACTCTCTCTCTCTCGCTTTTTTTTTTGGTTATGTATGTGTTTCAGTTTTTTTAAAAGAACTTTGGATTTGCCATTGGGCAGCGCTGGTCCTGGAGGCTGGACCCCCACGTGGCAGGGCTGGGGCAAGGGGCGGGCCCACGGCTGCTGAGAGGATCTCTGTGTTTAAAGCCTTTGAGAATAAGTTACTGCAGTTCCCAGGGTTCAGGGTAGGGGTTGGCAGAGGGGTTCCTGGCGGCGGCTCCCCCAGAGTCCAGGCTGCAGGGGCTCCTCTGTCAGGCAAGGAGAGGGTTAGGAGGCAGGGGTGTGGGGAGAAAGAGCTGGGAGCACTCCTCCCCCTGCCATCCTCCAGTTTGGTTAGAGTTTTGTGGGCCCCCTGCCTATCCCAGACTCCAGCCCCGGAAGCTGGGTATTTAGGAAGAGTCTGCAAGCAGTATGGTGCTCCAGATGAAGGGGGTAGGAAGGGGAGCAGCAGAGTTAATTTTCCTGCCCCCTTCTTTGTCTTGGGTTTTCTTTTTCTTCCTTTTTTTTGGTGTTTTCTCAGTCAGTGGAACAACATGGGATAACATGTACTTGCATGTGTTTATGAAAGTTGCAGCGACTGGGGATTCAGTGGGGAAGAGGTTGTAGGAAGATGGAATGAGGAAGATTTTGTGTATGGTGGGCAGGGCAGACGTGATGAATCATCAGGGTGACAGGAAGGGATGGTGCCTGAAATTCTGGGGCAAGGAGCTGTGGAGAGGATCAGTCTGTGTCTGGGGTGGGGGAGGAGGCAGGACTCTGCTGGAAGTGAGGTGTGTGAAGCCCACTGAGGGCAGGAACTGAGAGTCCTATGAGGTGGGCAGAGCCAAGGGTGGGGGTGAGGGACTTGTGCTCCCATCAAACACCCCTTGGGGGAAGAGAGGGAGCCCTGAGGCCCTTCCCGCTCCTCCCATCTTAGTTTATCTGTTCATAAAGCTAGAAGTGTAGAGGTAGTAGTAGTTTTTGGGTTGGAGTCCGTGTGAGGTAATCTTGCTTCCTCTTTGGCAAAAGCCACAGCAGCTGAGGCGGCAGTGGCGGCGTTGGTGACAGGCGGGCCCCCTGGGGGCGGGGCCGACTTGCGCCTGTGGGCCGAGGAGCGCAGGTGGGAGGACAGGGCTTCGTGCCCACTTAGCAGCACCTCACACGCCAGGCAGTGGTAAGTGCAGATGGGCACCCGCAGTGGGGGGGGCATGGAGCCTCCAGAGCCCCGCCCAAAGAAGCAGAAGGACCTCTGGTGAGCAGTGGCTGGGGCCTCCCCATCAAATGCCGTCTTGCACTGGCGGCACAGGTAGCGGTGGGTCACATCCACGGTAGAGATGCCAGTGCTACCTGTCAGCAGCTCATCAGCTTCCCCATCCCCTGGAGCAGGCAGTTCTGGAGGCTTTGGAGGTGCCGTGGCTGTGTGCTCTGGGGGCTGGAGGAGGGCACTGGGGAGCAGTCCAATGAGGGTCTGAGGTATCACAGGGTTCATGGGAAATAGCCCCTTCTTCATGCCATAGAGCTGTTGGAAGTAGGCCCCCTGTAACTGGGGGCCAAAG